GCATGGATGATGATGACCTAGTATCTGTTAAGATTTGGGGTTTCATCTTAAAATGTCAACCTTATCAAGAGGAGTAGTACAAACTCTTATAAATTGATCTACGTTTTCATCTTTATTCAATGTAGGATTTTTTCCCTTAACATGCCCCCACAATATGGTGGCTCGTTTGAGCAGACCAATCTTGAAATCCACATGCTCAACTTTTTTGAGTTTTAATCGGATCAAATTGCTTGTTGGAGATTAACGGGCTCTGATAATATGTTAAGATTTGATGTTCCATCTTAAAAAGGTCAACCTTATCAAGAGGAGTAGTCCGAACCGTTATAAATTGGTCTATATTTCATCTTTATTCGATGTGAGATTTTATCTCTTAACAATATCAACTGGTATGACTAGCAGCTGAAAGCTTTTTCACAAATAAATATGTAGACGAAACCGATATGGACTTATATCCATAGGATCAGTGGATGGAGTGAGTCGAAAAGGAAGCTGATACAGGACAAGGCTTTCTTGATTGAGTAAAGTTTTGGGAACCATATGGCTGAACACGGATCTAAATGTTGCTATGGTTCTGATTGTTATGTCGTCATTGATTAATGGAAGGGCTTTGCTTGCGACAATCACTCTGAAATGTAACATGGGCTGTAGGATCATGATGGGGGGACTTTTGGTGATGAAGAGATTTTCCTGGTACCCTATAGAACAGTAAATTCTCAAAAGATCATCCATGAAAATAAAATTAATGCAAAACCATAGATGTTACTTTTACCAATCGACTAATTGAAGTCCTCCTAGAAAACAATAGCAGGAAATTATTAATGAAAGAGACAAAGAAAGTGTCATCTTTGAAAATCTATTTCCAAAGAAAATATTTCAACTAAATAAGGCCTAAGAAAAAAGGGGTTTTACACTTTTTCATGGGAACAATAACCCTCCTCCTCCTGTAACATCTGAAGCTTGTGTACCTTTAGGTGGACTAATGGCTACCTAAAGTAATGAGAGTGTAATAGCAATAGGACCAGACCACACAAAGACAATTGTTGGTGTCTTTCCTCTTCTTTCCATGAGACCTTTGGCAAAAGGATGCAAATGAGCCAACACCCAGAAACTGAAGAATGCTCCACCAATGAACTTGCTCCATTGAGGAACTGAACTGTAAATTGCCCTTGAGAATGCCACTACCATAGCAATAATGTTAATCATCCCTATAACAATTGGTGGGATCATCAAAGAAGTCCATTTCACTAAGTAGAGATCTGCATAAATATCATCATTGTCATCTCCTGCAGATTTAGAAGTAAGTATGAAACAAATCTCGATTCCTGCAATAACTTTGAGGAGGCCTTGTACGACAGCAGCGAAGTGGGCACTGGCTCCAGAAATGAGCCAAAACTGTTCATTCCTCCACCGTTCTTCCAGTCCCACGCTGGACCATTTCACTTCCAAGATAGCCAATGCGATAAGGCAAATCGATATAGTCTAGAGGTAGATGAGGAAAACAATATTGAGGTTTTTCACGATAAAGTGGCCCGATAAGAGTGACAGTGCAGGGAGGAAGCAGTAGACAATTAGGAATAAGGAGGTGAAAGGATATACACCAACATTGAGGTAAGCCAAGCGCTGGAGGAATTTGAGTTTTTTGGTCCCAAGCAAAGCATTGTTTCTAGAGAAGAAAATCTCTACAGAGCTGCCCATCTGAGCACATGTTGGAGCCTATCATTGAGATTGATTGGAGCGATCTTTGGAAGGCATCACGCTTGGTGATGCAGTAGACAGAGTGCCATCCACGGTTATGCATACGGTACCCTGTCACGACATCTTCAGTGACTGAACAGTAAATCCAACCTACACGATCACCCCATTCAGTTTTGTCCTCGTACCTGTGAAACAATGTTCTTACGTTTAGATTGAACATATCGAAGTCCAAACCTATTCAACCTTGTTTTACACTAGTAGATCTGAACTTGCACAATTGTGTAGTAAGAGTCTGACAAAGATAGACTAACCAACAAGAAATAACAGAGACAGCTTCAGCTACTGTAGTTGCATCAACTGGTTCTCTGGGGACCCTGAGAATGCCAGGAGGTTGTCCATACTTAGCAGCGGGATGATCAGCAACCGGACGGCCTTGGAATTCAGCAATAGGTATAGACTCAGCTAGCATTGTGGAATTTCCAAAAAGATTTAGGTAATAAATTGACATCAAGATCAGGATCAAAACCCGTGGCTCTCAAAGCTTGTGTCTCTGCACCCTTTGAGGTATTATCACTTTTAGGGGGGATCAAACCCATAAAGAGCAAATCGACAGAACATGCATCTTGTCCCCACATAAACTGGACCCTGGATTAATCAATGCAAAATCAATAAATTCTGTTAAGAAATATGAAGTGAATATAAATCGAGATAGAGACATTGAAAGGAGCGTCCTTATTTATGCAAATAACTCTAAAAGGAAGCAATCAAACTATTATGGAAATAATCTCATTGAATTCGGAAAATATCCTTGTATGACAAGAGCATGGAGAACCTATAAAAGAAACATGGCTGAATGTACCTGGATTCCATCAAGTGCAGATCGCAATTCTATGGCAAGAATTTGGTTAAATTAGCAATAAATTGAATTATTAGCATAATCTATAATTGTCCAATAACACTATAAAATTACACATCATCATCCTTAAACCCCATCATAAGCAACAAATGGAGTTCGTCAAATATCTAATCATTCTTTCTGCTGTCTTTGTGGCTGCCACTGCTTTCAACGTCGGTATGTTTAATTTATTCCACAATCGATATTCTCTCTTTATTAAAATGAAAAACGTAGGGAACTAATGCGATTGGTTTCTGTTCCCTGCTTTTGAAGGACTGCTATATGGCAATGATATTGGAGCCACATCTTCAGCTACTATTTCTATTCAGGTATAGATTATTACAAATATTATTTATCTTATATTCAGTGAAGTGATCAATTGAAATAGCGGGCTATGTTCTATTTCTTCAGCAGCATCCTGTTTTAATTTTCTATCACCATTAAGTGCCAGTTTGACACACATTAATTTGTTTTATGGTTTACATTCACACTATAAAATATTCTACACGTATATCAAAAACTTTTCCCCTTTTTTTCCAAATCAAACAGGCTATAAATCTTGATCATTTTACACCTGCTCTTATTTATTTATTTATTCATTTTTATGGTTGGGGTGGGTTAGGGGGATTTTTAATGTAATTACCATGGAAATGGAGGTTAGATTTTCATTAAAAATTGTGACAGGGAATTCCCGCTCTAACATGCCATAGTTATAATATGCCTCTTTATGAACTAAAATATTTGGATCTGGTCAATTATTCTATTTAACGAATGCTGGTATGTTAGCCTTGTTTCATTGCAAGGTGCTTTCAGTACTAAGCAGATTTTAACTTCAGCTTTGTTAAAGATTAAAATGCTTCTTAAATCAAAAAAGGACGAATTTATTGGACTTTATTATTTCCAGAGTCCGTAATTCTAATTAGTGAATGTTTTTTTCTGGTACAGTCAGCCACACTCAGTGGGATTTCATGGTATAACTTGTCTTCGGTGGAAGTTGACCTTGTTGTAAGCTACCTGTCATCTCCATTTTTTCTGGACTGCATCTTTTATTTTCTGCCTGAAAGATCACATACGTTTTCTTTGATTTTTTTTTAACTTCTGTTTACTGCAGAGTAGTGGCTCATTATATGGTGCATTAATAGGCTCAGTTTTGGCTTTTAATGTTGCTGATTTCCTCGGTTAGTTTTACTAAGAATTTCGGGTGTGAAGATTGGATTAATAATATTATATTTCCCCGCATAATATTTCGATTAATAATTGATGTATAGGAAGAAGAAGAGAGTTGATTCTTACCTCTACATTTTACCTCATTGGAGCTCTTGTGACGTCCTTAGCACCTAATTTTGCTGTTTTGGTGATTGGGCGTTTTCTTTATGGTATCGGAATTGGATTGGTAAGAAATCCCAGGACATTTATTACAACTTAACTAGCATTGAATTCAATAAAATTATCTCTTCTTCGACAGAAGATCTGGTGTTCGTCAGACTTCAAAGTTCTCTGTTTTTTCTGTTGTAATTGCTTCAGAGTTGTCTTTGTTTTTCTGTTGCAATCTCACAACAAACAACATAGGTTCATGATGAGGGGACTTTTGGCGACGAAGGGATTTTCTTGGTATCCTGTAGGACAGTAAGTTCTCTAAAGCTCATCCAAGAAAATAAAATAAATGCAAAGCATAGAAGTTACTTTTACATAGCAATCAACTAATTGAAGTCGTCCTAGAAAACAATAGTAGGAAAGTATTAATGAAAGAGAAAAAAAGTGTCATCTTTGAAAATCTATTTCCTAAGAAAATATTTCAACTAAATAAGGCCTAAGAAACAAGGGGTTTTACACTTTTTCATGGGAACTGAAACCCTCCTCCTCCCGTAACATCTGAAGCTCGTGTACCTCTAGGTGGACTAATGGCCACCCAAAGTAATGAGAGTGTAATAGCAGTAAGACCAAACCATACAAAGACAATTGTTGGCGTCTTTCCTCTGCTTCCCATGAGCCCTTTGGCAAAAGGATACAAATGAGCCAACACCCAGAAACTGAAGAATGCTCCACCAATGAACTTGCTCCATTGAGGAACTGAACTGTAAATTGTCCTTGAGAATGCAACTACCATTGCAATAATGTTAATCATCCCTATAACAATTGGTGGGATCATCAAAGAAGTCCATTTCACCAAGTAGAGATCTGCATAAATATCATCATTGTCATCTCCTTCAGATTTAGAAGCAAGTGTGAAAGAAATCTGGATTCCTGCAATTACTTTGAGAAGGCCTTGTACGACAGCAGCTTAGTGGGCACTGGTTCCAGAAATGAGCCAAAAATGTTCATTCCTCCACCATTCTTCCAGTCCCACGCTGGACCATTTCACTTCCAAGATAGCCAATGCGATGAGGCAAATCGATATAGTCAAGATCTAGATGAGGAAAACAATATTGAGGTTTTTCACGATAGAGTGGCCGGATAAGAGTGACAGTGCAGGGAGGAAGCAATAGACAATTAGGAACAATGAGGTGATAGGGTATACACCAACATTGAGGTAAGCCAAGCGCTGGATGAATTTGAGTTTTTTGGTCCCAAGCAAAGCATTGTTTCTAGAGAAGAAAATCTCTACAGAGCCCGTTGCCCATCTGAGCACCTGATGGAGCCTATCAGTGAGATTGATTGGAGCTGATCCTCGGAAGGCATGATGCTTGGTGATGCAAAAGACAGAGCGCCATCCACGGTTATGCATACGGTACCCTGTCACGACATCTTCAGTGACTGAACCGTAAATCCAACCAACACGATCACCCCATTCAGTTTTGTCCTCGTACCTGTGAAACAATGTTCTTACATTTAGATTGAATATATCGAAGTCCAAACCTATTGAACTTTGTTTTACACTAGAAGATCTAAACTTGCACAATTGTGTAGTAAGAGTCTGACAAAGATAGACTAACCAACAAGAAATGACAGAGACAGCTTCAGCTACTGTAGTTGCATCAAGCGGTTCTCTGGGGACCCTGAGAATGCCAGGAGGTCGTCCGTACTTAACAGCGGGATGATCAGCAACCGGACGGCCTTGGAATTCAGCAATAGGTATGGACTCCGCTAGCATTGTGGAATTTCCAAAAAGGTTAGGTAATAAATTGACATCAAGATCAGGATCAAAATCCGTGGCTCTCAAAGCTCGTGTCTCTGCACCCTTTGAGGTATGATCACTTTTAGGGGGATCAAACCCATAAAGAGCAAATCGACGAAACATGCATCCTGTCCCCACATAAACTGGACCTAGGATTAATCAATGCAAAATCAATAAATTCTGTTAAGAAATATGAAGTGAATATAAATCGAGATAGAGACGTTGAAAGGAGCGTCCTAATTTATGAAAATAACTCTAAAAGAAAGCAATCAAACTATTATGGAAATAATCTCATCGAATTTGGAAAATATCCTGGTATGACAAGAACACGGAGAGCCTATAAAAGAAACATGGTTGAATGTACCTGGATTCCATCAGGTGCACGCATATTTCCATCAAAAAATACGGTGTTGTGATTGGCATAACGATCAGATGGATCAATGCCTTCAAATCTCTATGAATAGCATAAGTCTTCGCCACCCCAAAGTAATGAGAGTGTAATAGCAATAATACCAGACCATACAAAGACAATTGTTGGTGTCTTTCCTCTTCTTCCCATGAGCCCTTTGGCAAAAGGATACAAATGAGCCAACACCCAGAAACTGAAGAATGCTCCACCAATGAACTTGCTCCATTGAGGGACTGAACTGTAAATTGTCCTTGAGAATGCAACTACCATTGCAATAATGTTAATCATCCCTATAACAATTGGTGGGATCATCAAAGAAGTCCATTTCACCAAGTAGAGATCTGCATAAATATCATCATTGTCATCTCCTTCAGATTTAGAAGCAAGTGTGAAAGAAATCTGGATTCCTGCAATTACTTTGAGAAGGCCTTGTACGACAGCAGCTTAGTGGGCACTGGTTCCAGAAATGAGCCAAAACTGTTCATTCCTCCACCATTCTTCCAGTCCCACGCTGGACCATTTCACTTCCAAGATAGCCAATGCGATGAGGCAAATCGATATAGTCAAGATGTAGATGAGGAAAACAATATTGAGGTTTTTCACGATAGAGTGGCCCGATAAGAGTGATAGTGCAGGGAGGAAGCAGTAGACAATTAGGAACAAGGAGGTGATAGGGTATACACCAACATTGAGGTAAGCCAAGTGCTGGATGAATTTGAGTTTTTTGGTCCCAAGCAAAGCATTGTTTCTAGAGAAGAAAATCTCTACAGAGCCCGTTGCCCATCTGAGCACCTGATGGAGCCTATCAGTGAGATTGATTGGAGCTGATCCTCGAAAGGCATGATGCTTGGTGATGCAAAAGACAGAGCGCCATCCACGGTTATGCATACGGTACCCTGTCACGACATCTTCAGTGACTGAATCGTAAATCCAACCAACACGATCACCCCATTCAGTTTTGTCCTCGTACCTGTGAAACAATGTTCTTACGTTTAGATTGAATATATCGAAGTCCAAACCTATTGAACCTTGTTTTACGCTAGTAGATCTAAACTTGCACAATTGTGTAGTAAGAGTCTGACAAAGATAGACTAACCAACAAGAAATGACAGAGACAGCTTCGGCTACTGTAGTTGCATCAAGCGGTTCTCTGGGGACCCTGAGAATGCCAGGAGGTCGTCCGTACTTAACAGCGGGATGATCAGCAACCGGACGGCCTTGGAATTCAGCAATAGGTATAGACTCCGCTGGCATTGTGGAATTTCCAAAAAGCTTAGGTAATAAATTGACATCAAGATCAGGATCAAAATCCGTGGCTCTCAAAGCTCGTGTCTCTGCACCCTTTGAGGTATGATCACTTTTAGGGGGATCAAACCTATAAAATCGACGGAACATGCATCCTGTCCCCACATAAACTGGACCCTGGATTAATCAATGCGAAATCAATAAATTCTGTTAAGAAATATGAAGTGAATATAAATCGAGATAGAGACATTGAAAGGAGCATCCTTATTTATGCAAATAACTCTAAAAGGAAGCAATCAAACTATTATGGAAATAATCTCATCGAATTTGGAAAATATCCTTGTATGACAAGAACATGGAGAACCCATAAAAGAAACATGGCTGAATGTACCTGGATTCCATTAAGTGCAGATCGCAATCTCTATGGCAAGAATTTGGTTAAATTAGCAATAAATTGAATTGTTAACATAATCTTAATTGTCCAATAACACTATAAAAATACACACCATAATCCTTAAACCCCACCATAAGCAACAAATGGAGTTAGTAAAATATCTAATCATTCTTTCTGCTGTCTTTGTGGCTGCCACTGCTTTCAACGTCGGTATGTTTAATTTAGTCCACAATCGATCTCTCTTTATTAAAATGAAAAACGTAGGGAACTAATGTGATTGGTTTCTATATGGAGGACTGCTATATGGCAATGATATTGGAGCCACATCTTCAGCTACTATTTCTATTCAGGTATAGATTAAGACAAATATTATTTATCTTATGTTCAGTGAAGTGATCGATAGAAGTATCAGACTATGTTCTATTTCTTCAGCAGCATCATGTTTTCATTTTCTATCACCATTGAGTGCCAGTTTGTTAAAGATTAAAATGCTTCTTAAATTAAAAAAAGATGAATTTATTGGACTTTATTTCCAGAGTCCGTAATTCTAATTAGTGAATGTTTTTTCTGGTACAGTCAGCCACACTCAGTGGGATTTCATGGTATAACTTGTCTTCGGTGGAAGTTGACCTTGTTGTAAGCTACCTGTCATCTCTATTTTTTTGTTTATTTCTCTTGCTTTTCTGCCTGAATGATCACATACGTTTGCTTTGATTTTTTTTACTTCTGTTTACTGCAGAGTAGTGGCTCATTATATGGTGCATTAATAGGCTCAGTTTTGGCTTTTAATGTTGCTGACTTCCTCGGTTAGTTTTACTATGAATTTCAGGTGTGAAGATTGGATTAATAATATTATATTTCCCCTGCATAATATTTCGATTAATAATTGATGTATAGGAAGAAGAAGAGAGTTGATTCTTACCTCTACATTTTACCTCATTGGAGCTCTTGTGACGTCCTTAGCACCTAATTTTGCTGTTTTGGTGATTGGGCGTATTCTTTATGGTATCGGAATTGGATTGGTAAGGAATCCCAGGACATTTATTACAACTTCTGCAATTGCTTTTGCTTAAACACAACTAACATAGCAACCCAACATGACTCAAGAGTAACTTTATCAGAAAATAATTGTCTAATGATTCAAAGAGGCAAAATTTATGTAGACTGAATTAGGGCAGGTTTGAAATTGCTAGTTGGACGATGATGCCTGAATTCATTACAAATGAGTGAACTTGTTGCTATTGGAATCATCATTTGTTTTCTCCCAATTAATAGGCAATGCATGCTGCTCCCTTGTATATAGCTGAGACAGCTCCAAGGCAGATACGAGGACAGCTAATTTCTCTCAAAGAAGTTTTCGTAGTCCTCGGGATGCTAGTAAGTGTTCCTACTCCCTCTTTGGGCTGCCTTCAGACATATTTATCAGTAAGTCAATAATAAAGAATTGTGAATTCTGAGGGCTTAAATATCTTTATAGGTGGGTTATATCGTTGGTAGCCTTTCGGTTGAGACTGTTGCTGGTTGGCGTTACATGTATGGAGTTAGTATCCCTTTATCACTTATAATGGGGATTGGAATGTGGTGGCTAACTGAATCACCTAGATCGATTCTGCTCCGCGCCATAAAGAGAAAAGGAAATGTGCAAGGTTCAAGAGAAAATACCATAACTTGCTTGAACCTGAATCACCTAGATGGATTCTATTACGCGCCATACAGGGCAAAGGAAATGTGCAAGGTTCAAGAGAAAATGCCATAACTTGCTTGCGCCGGTCAGCTCCTAAACAAGTAGATGAAATTCTGTCTGAGCTTTCTCATTTGCGTGAAGAACAAGAAGTAACTATAGCAGAAATGTTCCAGGGGAAATGCTTGAAAGCTCTTATAATAGGTGCAGGCCTAGGCTTGTTTCAACAGGTACTCTTCATTTATAATGGGCCTTGCTTCATTTATAAAGTTTCAAATTTTTACTCATATCTGTTGCTCTCTTCATTGCAGATAACGGGGCAATCTAGTGTATTATATTATGCTGCAACAATTTTTCAGGTACATCTGCTGAATAGCTCGTGACTGCTGATGTAAATTTACCTTTCATATGACGTGATTTGGATCTGACATGTATTTTACCCTTCTAACCTAGTTCTGCACGATAGAGTGCAGGATTTTCTGCAGCATCTGATGCAACAAAGGTCTCAATACTTCTTGGGTTGTTAAAGGTGAGATGATGGAGAAAATTCATGAAGTCCTCTCTTTAATTTTGACAAAAAAATTCAGGTGTTAATGTTACACTCGCATTCAAGAATTCGCCTTATTCAGTTATTTGTACTATTTAATCTCACGCTTAATCCCCCATTAGTATTGTATTGTATTGTTCCATTTTTTTCTCTCTCTCAAAAATTTGATAATTGTGTTGCTGTAGCTGATTATGACTGGGGTAGCAGTCCTGGTTGTTGATAGATTAGGGAGAAGACCTCTGCTACTTGGAGGTGTTTCTGGTATGGTAAGTTATACTTCATAATTCCTTCCTAATTATAGAGCTTGTTTGAGCTCCATTTTATTGTAATAATGCATTTTAGAATAGTAGATTGATGAAGAATGTATGGTTAAAAAATAAGGAAAAAATTTGAATTTACGTATAATATTATTTTATTGAAAAATGTGTGTTTGAAATAAATAAGAGAAAAATGTATTTTGAAAATAATGGGAATCAAACAATGGCATAGCTGATTCTTTTTCATGTGCCTCAACACATTTTCATAAATGAAATCCCTTTTTTATCGAATGCATTTCATCACCTTCTACTTGTTGAGCTGCTTAAAACAACAATCAAAATCGAAAATTTTAATATCATGCTTTATTTGGAATATTTGACAGGTAATATCTCTATTTCTTCTGGGGTCTTATTATACTTATCTAGATGATATACCAGCTGTGGCAGTTGTTGCTTTGCTATTATACGTTGGATGTTACCAGGTATTTGTAAAATTTCATTTATTTATTTGTGTCTTAAATCATTATCTTTAGTTTGCGTGGATGGATTCTTTGGTTTATTTGAACGCAATTAAAATGGCATAATTTTAGTTTGCCAAAGTAGGATAGCATTGTCACATATATTTGCTACAGGAAAAGTAATAGGTAAATTTGTTTCTACAAATAGAGATGGCCGCCCCGCCCCGCCCCGCCCCGGGCCAGGTGGGTGCTGGGCAAGGGCCTGCCCTGTTTCTTGAACCCCCCCCCCCCCCCTCTTTTTTTTTTTTAAAAAAAAATTTCAGTTAAAATACAAATTCAAAATATTAAATGAAATATAAATTTATTAGAATGTATATATGTATTGAACATAGATATGGCAGTGGGGCGGGTTCGGGGGGTGCCCCGCCCTGTTTCATGCCCCCCTAATTAAAATACAAATTCAAAATTTTAAAATCCAAAGCAAATAATATTCAAACTAACTACATCAATATTCAAAGAAAGCACTCGAAACAAACAATGTCCAAAACAAAATTTTTTTTTTCACGGTGCGGGGCATCCCGGCCCATCCCCGAGACCCGAGACGGGGCGCCCGTCCCCGCCCCGCCCTTTTTTGCCATCACTCTAACAAGAAATTTCATTTGGCAACATATACAGTTCGTTGTATTTATTTTCAATTCGATTGCATATGTCCTACCGTTACTTATTATACATGACCGTTTAGTGTTAATTTTTGTAAAGTATTGTCTTGCAGTTATCATTTGGTCCCATTGGTTGGTTAATGATTACTGAGATTTTGCCCTTGCGCGTAAGAGGACGAGGATTAAGTATTGCAGTTCTCGTGAATTTTGGAGCAAAACTAATTATATCAATATCCAAAGCAAACACTCCAAACAAACAATGTCCAAAACAATTTTTATTTATTTTTCAAGGGGGCAGGGTTCGGGGCGGGGCATCCCTGAGACCCGAGACGGGGCGGCAATCCCTGCCCCGCCAACCCATTGGGGCGGGTTTTTTGCCATCACTCTAACAAGAAATTTCATTTGGCAACATATACAGTTCGTTGTATTTACTTTCAATTCGATTGCATATGTCCGACCGTTACTTATTTTACATAGACCGTTTAGTGTTAATTTTTGTAAAGTATTGTCTTGCAGTTATCATTTGGTCCCATTGGTTGGTTAATGATTACTGAGATTTTGCCCTTGCGCGTAAGAGGACGAGGATTAAGTGTTGCAGTTCTCGTGAATTTTGGAGCACTGAGATTTTGCCCTTGCGCGTAAGAGGACGAGGAGTAAGTGGTGCAGTTCTCGTGAATTTTGGAGCAACTGTTCTGGTGACATTTGCCTTTTCACCTCCGAAGGTGAGAATTTATTCCAATGTTTTGATTCCCAGCCGTTTTTAACATGAAATATTACATCTCTATTAGCGAGTTTAATAAGACAGTTGCATTGCTTAGAAAATTTGTTGACCAAAAGACAGGCCACTGTCCCTCAAAGAGATATTTGAATCTATTCCTACCTTACATATGTATCTGTGTTTCTTCTCTTAATTTTTCTGGGTAACATAATGTTTCCACAAAAAGTTTTATTTATTCCGTATTTCCTTCTGATTACAGGATTTGTTGGGTGTTGGAATTTTGTTTTTCATTTTTGGGGGAATAGCCATCTTGTCTCTCGTCTTCATCTTTTTCTTTATACCAGAGACGAAAGGGCTTACTTTGGAGGAGATCGAGTCCGCACTCCTTTAGGGCTCGTTTTATCCGTTGGTGCAGCTAAGACAATTATGGAATACTTCTCACGTCTCGATGGCAACGTTAGTCCATGTCTTCGTATCAGATTCTACACCACCTAACTCTCTATGTATATGCGCTTCATTCTGTATATTTCATTATGAGATATCTAATGTCCTTACCATTAGAAGTTGGATGATGCCATTGAAGTTTTTCTGATTCTTCTCCGTCCGAATTGGCTACTGCCTAGTGGTGCCGAAAGAGGAAGAGGAAGGGATTAATAGTGTTGGGACCTCTCTGGGTTTAGAATTTGATAAAAGAGTGAAGAGAACAATTCATCTTGCATTGAATATCCTTTGTGTGACAAATAATTAGTATTGATTCTAAAGATTTGTAATTTTGATGTCTTTGATTCTTAGGTAACTTGAGGATTTAGTAATTAAATAAATTAGCCTACGTTTATGTTTGGCAAAGCTTAATTCCTACTGTAATAACGGTAATAAATGTTGCTGCCATTATAATAACGGAACCTTGATGCAATAAATTCTTATTCTACTGTAATAACGGTAATAAATGACGGATGCGATAATATTTTGGTAAGTTTATCAAATTCATTAACTTTTAAAACGGATAGGGGAGGATGAATGTGAGAACATTATAATAGCAACTTGATAATCTTTTAGGTTGTGTTTGATAGCAAATATTTTTCATGGAAAATTTACATCAATTTGTCATGTTTGATAGCCATTTTTTCTAGGGAATTGGTTTTCCCTCCCACCCCCCACACGTGCACATTTTCTTTGGTTTTGTTGAATTGATTTTCCCGCCTTTTTGGTGGGAAAAGCAATTTCAGATTTTTTCTTTTTTGAAATAATGGAAACAAATTTCATAATCAATTGTAAAAAAAAAAAAATTCACTTTAATGGACAATTTTCATGTAAAATAAAACCAAACGAACACTAAATTTTGATAAAAAATGATTTTTAAGGAATTTTTTTTTTTCGTTTTTTTTTTATTTTTGGCAATTGAAACAAATTTTATAACCAATTGTGGAAAAAAGTATCACTTTAATGAACAATTTCCATGTAAAATAAAGCCAAACGAATACAAAAATTTTAAAATTTTTCGGGTAGAAAATTATACAAATCAAACACACTTAATTAACAATTCTCTGCAAAACATTTTTTAGGCAATTATTTTCTCTGGAATTCCCTGCAAAACATTTCCTAGGCAATTATTTTCTCCTAGGCAATTTTTTTTATTTTTGGCAATTAAAACAAATTTTATAACCAATTGTGGAAAAAAATATCACTTTAATGAATAATTTCCATGTAAAATAAAGCCAAACGAATACAAAAATGTAAAAAATTTTCGGGTAGAAAATTATACAAATCAAACACACTTAATTAACAATTCCCTGTAAACATTTCCTAGGCAATTATTTTATCTGGAATTCATTTTTTTCCACTCATTTTCCACCTTTGCAATCAAACGGATCCTTAGAGTTAAATGGAAACTGAAAAACATTTGGAGAAAATCGGCGACAACTCAGAGAATTTTTAAGTTCAATGGCAATTGAAAATATTTTAAAAAGTTGGTTGAATTAGCATTAAATTGGTTAAATAGCAATAAATTGTCCAGTAGGATCTGATTTTGAAGATCGCAATCTCTATGGCAAGAATTTGGTGAAATTAGCAATAAATTGAATTATTAGCATAATCTATAATTGTCCAATAACACTATAAAAATACACACAATCATCCTTAAAACCCCATCATAAGCAAGAAATGGAGTTCGTCAAATATCTAATCATTCTTTCTGCTGTCTTTGTGGCTGCCACTGCTTTCAACGTCGGTATGTTTAATTTATTCCACAATCGATATTCTCTCTTTATTAAAATGAAAAACGTAGGGAACTGATGCGATATTTGTTTGAAGGTGGAAACCATGCAATAGCGAACCCTTTCTGCTATTATGTATGTACGCCGAGCTTCACGGATGAACAATGCTTGGCGGAATGCATAAAGAGACTGTTTAACGATGCAGCCTGTATTAAACAAGACAATGGAGAAAAGCTATGTTGCTGTGGCACATAGTCATTTTTTTTTTTTACATTATAAAAGTCGTGTTTCTCTTTGAATTAAAATAAAAATTAAGAAGAATTCCTTATCGTTCATGTGTTGTTCAATCGCTTTAGATTAGCTTAAATTTTGATTTAATGAGACATTATCTAATTTGGAATACGGAACTAAAAATGGAAAACAGTACTACCGGGTAGCGATACAATTACACGTCTAACTTTCTAATGGAGTGTTTACGTTTCGAAGGCAATCCTCCCCTTCTTGCCGAGAATTTTCGAGAAGCGAGACGAGTCAGAAGTGGCAGATTCTTACTTTTCCATTTATTTATTTTATAAATATAATTTAGAATTATAACATAAATAAAATAAGAAGCGGCGGGACAATGTTTCCAATGTGGGACAAGGTAGAGGAGACGGGCCCATTTTGAAATTGTGGATGGAAACTTTAAGAGACATGTTACATGTACATAGGGGTTGACACGCCCCCCTCACAAGAGGTGCCCCCCTTTTCTGAGGGGAGTGTGTACATTTTAGCATTTCTCAAACTTTAACTACTGCTGTCAATGGACAGAACACTAATCAAATAACAGTAAAGTTACTTGCACATGTACACGGGAATTTGCTAGGGATTTCTACGAAATTACATACGGCAAAATTGTATTGAATGATTGCCCTGTGTTTTATGTGGAACAACTGATAAAAACTTGACATTTGACAATCTGGCAAAAATAAATTGTACAGGCCTGTACATGTAGCTAGGTCCACCAAATAATAGCTAACAAAAAATTCCTCGATTTTAAATCAAAACCCTAGTCGTAGTCCCACCTCCAATTTAATTATTCGAATCATCCAAACACGGTCTCCTTTCCGTCACGTCACCTTCTAATGCATTTTCTGTAATTCCGTTTGAATGATAAATGAAGTAGAGATAATTTTCATCGATAAACAATATAAAGTGTATGAAGTTAGATAGTGCAAGAGTAACAAAAGGATAACTAATAGAGTAACTGGCATACATGATTTACTTATATGAAGATGCCAGCATGTGTGTTTCTATGAAGTAACATTTTTGTTTCTTTACTATTTAATATTAACCGTGCCAATGTATGTATGATTTCACTTGAGCTTCCATAGCTAGTCACCGGTTGGTTGGAGTTTAAACTTTAAAATTACAGCCGAGCCAATGATGCCAAACCACAGAAATTAGGGTTGACAATATCTATATTACAAAAGTTATATCCACAATAATAGCTGTGTCAATAGCCCAACATGATCAAGAACCAACTCTTTCTTGTTTCTCGCTTCTGCTAATGCAGATGATTCTGCATCTATAGCAAATATCGATGCACAAGAAGAGCATGGAAGCATGAGCAATGATGATCTAGTATCAACTGGTATGACTAGCAGCTGAAAGCTTTTTTAACAAATAAATATGTAGACGAAACCGATATGGAAGTATATATCCATAGGATCAGTGGATGGAATAAGTCGAAACGGAAGCTGATACGGGACAAAGCTTTCTTGATTGAGTAGAGTTTTGGGAACCATATGGCTGGACACGGATCTAAACGTTGCTATGGTTCTGATTGTTGTGTCGTCATTGATTAATGGAAGGGCTTTGCATGGGACGATCATTGCGAAATGTAACATGGGCTGTAGGATCATGATGAGGGGACTTTTCGTGATGAAGAGATTTTCCTGGTATCCTATAGGACAGTAAATTCTCGAAAGATCATCCATGAAAATAAAATGAACGCATAACATAGAAGTTACTTTTACATAGCAATCGACTAATTGAAGTCGTCCTAGAAAACAATAGTAGGAAAGTATTAATGAAAGAGACAAAGAAAGTGTCATCTTTGAAAATCTATTTCCTAAGAAAATATTTCAACTAAATAAGGCCTAAGAAACAAGGGTTTTTACACTTTTTTATGGGAACTGAAAACCTCCTCCTGTAGCATCTGAAGCTTGTGTAGTACCTTTAGGTGGACTAATAGCCACCCAAAGTAATGAGAGTGTAATAGCAATAAGACCAGACCATACAAAGACAATTGTTGGTGTCTTTCCTCTTCTTCCCATGAGCCCTTTGGCAAAAGGATACAAATGAGCCAACACCCAGAAACTGAAGAATGCTCCACCAATGAACTTGCTCCATTGAGGAACTGAACTGTAAATTGTCCTTGAGAATGCAACTACCATTGCAATAATGTTAATCATCCCTATAACAATTGGTGGGATCATCAAAGAAGTCCATTTCACTAAGTAGAGATCTGCATAAATATCATCATTGTCATCTCCTGCAGATTTAGAAGTAAGTGTGAAAGAAATCTCGATTCCCGCAATAACTTTGAGAAGGCCTTGTACGACAGCAGCGAAGTGGGCACTGGTTCCAGAAATGAGCCAAAACTGTTCATTCCTCCACCATTCTTCCAGTCCCACGCTGGACCATTTCACTTCCAAGATAGCCAATGCGATGAGGCAAATCGATATAGTCAAGAGGTAGATGAGGAAAACAATATTGAGGTTTTTCACGATAAAGTGGCCCGATAAGAGTGATAGTGCAGGGAGGAAGCAGTAGACAATTAGGAATAAGGAGGTGAAAGGATATACACCAACATTGAGGTAAGCCAAGCGCTGGAGGAATTTGAGTTTTTTGGTCCCAAGCAAAGCATTGTTTCTAGAGAAGAAAATCTCTACAGAGCCCGTTGCCCATCTGAGCACCTGATGGAGCCTATCAGTGAGATTGATTGGAGCTGATCCTCGGAAGGCATCACGCTTGGTGATGCAGTAGACAGAGCGCCATCCGCGGTTATGCATACGATACCCTGTCACGACATCTTCAGTGACTGAACCGTAAATCCAACCTACACGATCACCCCATTCAGTTTTGTCCTCGTACCTGTGAAACAATGTTCTTATGTTTAGATTGAATATATCGAAGTCCAAACCTATTGAACCTTGTTTTACGCTAGTAGATCTAAACTTGCACAATTGTGGAGTAAGAGTCTGACAAAGACTAACCAACAAGAAATGACAGAGACAGCTTCAGCAACTGTAGTTGCATCAAGTGGTTCTCTGGGGACCCTGAGAATGCCAGGAGGTCGTCCATACTTAACAGCGGGATGATCAGCAACCGGACGGCCTTGGAATTCAGCAATAGGTATAGACTCAGCTAGCATTGTGGAATTTCCAAAAAGCTTAGGTAATAAATTGACATCAAGATCAGGATCAAAATCCGTGGCTCTCAAAGCTTGTGTCTCTGCACCCTTTGAGGTATTATCACTTTTAGGGGGATCAAACCCATAAAGGGCAAATCGACGGAACATGCATCCTGTCCCCACATAAACTGGACCCTGGATTAATCAATGCAAAATCACTAAATTCTGTTAAGAAGTATGAAGTGAATTTAAATCGAGATAGAAACATTGAAATGAGCGTCCTTATTTATGCAAATAACTCTAAATCGATCTATTATGGAAATAATCTCATCGAAATTGGAAAATATCGTGGTATGACAAGAACATGGAGAACCTATAAAAGAAACATGGCTGAATGTACCTGGATTCCATCAAGTGCACGCATATTTCCATCAAAAAATACGGTGTTGTGATTGGCATAACGATCAGATGGATCGATGCCTTCAAATCTTTGGGGAAACTGGATATAGCATATGTCTTCGCCACCTCTATCCATCATAAAGCACATCCCTTCACGGGGAGCCTTGCAATTGTAAATATAGTGATCACAATCAAGATTGAGTATAAATGCACCATTAGAGAGTACAGCTGATGCCCGGACAAGTGCATTCATTGCACCAGCTTTCTTATTATGATCATATCCTGGACGCTTCTCACGCGACACGTACACAAACATAGGCAGACGTATGTCTACATCTGAGAAGTCAAGAAGCTTGTCCTCTGATCCTCCGATTAGTGGGTCACTGCTTGGGGGCTTCAACATTACCTGCAACCATATTTGCGCTTAATCCACTTGATGTAAAGGCTTAAACTGTTTTTTTTTTTTATCAAAATGCCTACGTGTGCAGAATTGATTGATTTATATATACCTGCAGAATGCCGGCATGATCACCTTTGGCGTGTTCCCTAGTAGGGACACCCCAAGTTCCGGGCCAGTGGGTACCATCGGCCATCCATGTAGCCTTTTGAACCTTGATTGGCTCCATGGGATCATCCCCACCCTCTCTCATGTGCTTTAGCATTTTCATCTCCTCCCTGGCATTGAATGCATCCGATCTTCTCCTGATTGAATCAGGCAATCCATTTATCCTCACCTTAAATTCATCATATTCCCTCTTAACTCTCCGCCTATCTTTCACAAAATCAGCCCTCTTCTTGTTCTTGGTCGGATCACCTTTCAGAGTGAAGTAGGTTTCAGGATTTCTGGGTTCTATATCATGTTTCCTGCAGAAAGGAACCCACAAATCAGCAAAACTTGCAGCCTCCGCCATGGCCTCAAAAGTGAGAAGCGCTCCACCGTCGTCAGAAACGTAACAAGCAAGTTTCTCTACGGGATAGTCTACGGCTAAGATTGACAGAATAGTGTTGGCAGTGACCAGTGGAGGTTCCTTCTCAGGATCAGCAGTGGACACAAAAAAGTCCATTCCTGGGAGGTCAGAGGCTCCACTCGGATTGGAAGATGATGGCATATCAAATTTATCGCGCAAAACCTCTAAATCTGTAACACGACTGACTGGGTTGATCTTAGGAACCTGATCAAGAATCCAAGAAAAGGCGAACCATAATTCACATACAACTGACATCAACCACAGCCATATAGCTTCGTCGTTCGGATGTTTCAGTCTCCATGTCAAGAAGAAGGCAAGTACAACTAGTCGGACAACAATAAGCAGCCTGCAATTTCATGTTGGTTACTGAACTTCATTTTTTTCAAGTTTGTCAAACTAAACAGTTGGCCTTAGTCTGTTAATTTGACCAACGGACGTGAACGGAATGACTAAATTGTTCTGTGTGCATACCTGTAAGGGCTGATGATGCTATTTGGGATAGGTACTATTCGGCTGAGGGGTCTCCATGGTTTATCTGATGAATCCGGCATGCCCTTATGCACTCCATCCCCGTCATCTCCATACATGTCATCTTGAGGCCAATAGGCATTGCCATATCCATATGTACCCTGAGTCTCAAATAGCCACTTATTATGATCAAATTCTCCATTTTGATTCCTCTTCATCATAGACATACGCCGGTCTCCTTTCGAATCATCGGGGGCGGGAAGCGATAGAGCGCCACCGGAAAAATTCGGTACATCATCATCAAAATCACCAACTCTATATGGCTCCTTGCATCCAGGACAGAGACCAGTATCTTTTTGGGCGTCCATGTAGCAATCTCTGCAGATTTTAAACCTAGAAAGACCATTCCAAGAAATGTTCACACCTGACTTTTATTTAGAATTAGTGCATGCTGGTGAATGATCCTTGATAGTAAAACTAAGTTTCCATCAAATTAATACATGTATTACTAACTTAAACTTTTCGATAATGTCGTTACACGTATGATGAAAAAATGTCTAAAGTCATAACTTTTAGACGAGATACCTGCATTCACAAGGAATAACGTCTTTACCCCTTTCATCCTTCATAATCTTGCCATCACAAGCCGGCATGGCACAGGACGAGCCTTTGGAACCGGCCATCTGTGGATGACTCACCTCCGATTCAATCACCTTATCCATGAGATGAGCACGCGTGACGCTGTTGAATCCACCAGTGAAGAGAGAATTGGATACATATTGTTCTTCTGCTTTTGCAGCCACAGAAGTGTCCATTGGCTGATTATCAGGCGTAGGAGGAATGTGAACAGTATAATTCATGTAATCACCCGAAATTTCTCCTGACATATCCAGGTCTTCTCTGGAGAGACTTACGTACCTACCGCTTGAAGTTCTCCGTGCAAATTTCACCGTTTGGCCACTGGAACCCCGGTTTCCCTGAGAACTACCGGAGGAACCACCAGACCCCGGTGCACGCATTCCCTTCTTTGATGGCTGGCTAGACAAGTTCGACATTTTCGAATTATTCTGTGTATCTTTAATCTAATCAGATAAGATTCCTAATTATATAGCAATAGTTTAGTCAACTAAGACACCCCAGATTGGTGGTTCATTCTAAATGAAGACATGCGTTCTGTTTCTACATCAAAATCATGCAAAAATTTGGTAAAATAGAAAATTAAACTAATTATCTCAAGAACAAAATGAGATTCGAAATGAGAAGCAGAGGAAGGATACTGAAAATTATGTGGTTTTGGGTTCATCTCCTACGGAAAATCTGGGAAATGTATGGAAGAGAGAAAATAGGAAAAACAGAAATGGAATTCCCGGTGAGAGACCTAGTCACATAATTGCCTCTCCATGACTGTCTGTTGGCAGGTTTCAAGGGGATAAAGACATGTCGAAACGGGCAGACTGAAAAGGTTAGAGTCCAAACTTAATTATCTCCTTTTAATTATATATGTTGTGAAATTAATTATGTTATTTTGTAATTAATAGATTATAATTTTAGTTCAAGTTAATAATTGTAATAGTTAAATTTAGCCCCTATTTGGCACACATTAAAATTTTCATTCTCATTTTCAACCACACATTCTTCAATAAAATAATATCAATAACTTTTCCTTCTTTTTCAACCACACATTCTCCATCAATCTACTATTCCAAAATACATTCTTCCAAAATACTATCCACCAAACACACCATTAATTAAATTACGCTACGTGCTTATTCAAATTAATATTTGCAACATATGAACATAATAAAATGTTGAAAAAGTCTCTGGAGGAATCAATATGTATATTGTATCCTAAATGTTTCGCGTGGATTATCGAGCTTCGCTAACAATTAAAAGATGGTTCAGACGATTGTGTAAGGAACAAACCTCTCGAGACAAAGTCTCAACGATGAGTACTTTATTTATGAAGATTACAATTATGAAGAAGCATAACGTCTCCAGGAAGCACAAGAACCTCTCGAGACAAAGTCTCAACGATGAGTACTTTATTTATGAAGATTACAATTATGAAGAAGCATAACGTCTCCAAGAAGCACAAGCACATAAAGTAATTTGAAAGTTGACAATAAGAACTAAACGAAATGAAATTACATAATTCTCTGTTTGAGAGTGAGTGATTTGGGGTCCTTTCCTTCTATGTCTTCTTTTTTCTTTTATACTCATTTGCCAATTTCCCTTGTAAAACTGTTTGAAAACTACTTGTCGCTTTATAACTACCCACTTGCTTCATAATGGCTGACGTGTCAAGGAACTGCCGTTTTTAAACTGCTGCTATTACTCACATCTTTTAACTGCTTGCAACCGAGATTCTTGGATCGTAGAATGTGATAAGATTGCTCAATAACAGTGGAACCGCCGTTTTTAAACTGCTGCTATTGCTCCCCTCTTTTAACTTTTTGCAATCGAGATATTTGAATCGTAGATCGTGATAAGATTGCTCAATAACTGTTTCAATAACCACCGCTTTAAATAACAACACGACGCTATATTATCTCAGATCTTGGGCGTCTCGAAGGCTTGGGCGAGAATGGGACCGTCGCTCTGAGCGACAATAAGGTATTTCATTCACTCAAATCATGGGCGTCCTGCGAGCTTGGACGATAATAGTCCTCCATTTATGGGTCTCCACTATATTTTACAATGGTCTCATTTGGGCTTATCCCTCAAATTCCCTAACTGGGCTCCATTTCTTGGACCATTTAATTGGGCCTCATTTTTGTATGTCAACAATTACCCCCAATATGACAAAATTCATATCAAGTATTAATCTTATGCCATATTCTTCCTTTGTATATCTGGCAATACTTGAAATCCCAAAATGGCGGAGAATTTCAACTTTTATTTTCGTTTGGCAGTAACCTTCCACATCCTAAAAATGCAACATCACACAACCTCTATAAACCAAAGGACACACCACTTCATCACGCCATTACACCCACGTCTTTACATTGCATGCTTCTCTCTCACTGTTCACTGTTCATCTTTTTGCTTCTCTGTTACGCTTCTTAAGCAACCTTCACAAAGAGTGTATTTTGTATCAAATGGCGACTTCACAAACTTTTTTTCGACAACTCCCTTAGTTTCGAGGATTTCCAAAACCTTCTTACCAAGTCGTATATAAATTCAACTTTTCTTTCACCAGCCAACCCTGACCTTCATGAACTTTATCTGGGTCCGTCGTTTAATAATGCTGAATCTATTGGACAAGCGGCGGTGGGTCAGCTATTTCCTTACACTCAAGACCCTCATTTTCTGAACTCTCTACCGCTGAAGCCAATCTGCGAGAAATGTATTCGTACTTGGCCTAAAATTGACACTACTTTTCGTATGTGGCATGCACGTATCGTAAATCATGGTCCTACCAAGGCGATTTTTGCTTGTGCTAGGATTTCAGATTTATTAGAAATCGCTCTCCGTCCTCCAATTTATAACCCCGGTGATTTTCCCTATTATTTTAAGTTTCTGGTCTTCTGAGTATAATATTTTTATCCTCCCCCTTGACCCAATGTCTATTAGCCTGAGGGATGTTGAAGCCCTAGTAAACCTTCCGCTCTTGAGCGATACCATTTTTTCTGGCATCCTGCTTACTGTTGTTGCCCAAAAATTTGACAAGAAATTTACTGATTCCTATTCGGGTATGGAAGAAATGTATAATAATTCAAGCGCTGAACCTTCTCATGATGAGCGTATGACCTTTCTTCAGGTTTAGCTTTGTAAATACTTGCTTTGTGTGCCCAGCATGAAACCTTCCATGAGTTATCTGCCCATAGCGCATGAATTAGCGCGTGGTAGGTCTTTAAACCTCTGTTCATTATTCTTAGCCGCGCTTTATAGAGGCATGACTTCCCTCCAACTTCAATTGAAAAATGGTGCATCTCCCACTAGTAGTGGACCTCTTGGCTCGCTCAATTGTTGTTGAGAGCATACTTTCCCCAACTTGGTGCTATTGGCTTTCAACTCATTGCTACTTGAATTTTGCAGAGGTTCCCATGGACCTGCCCGTTGTTGCAGAGCCTGCTCGTCCAGACAAGAGGAAGTCTCCACAAGTGGCTGGGTCAACTAGTGATGTACCCCAACTTCCTAGAGCTGCTGATAAGGTATCCTTTATTTTATCTTTCATCTTCACTTCATTTACGGAAAATGTTAAATGCTTGTATTTTTATTTACAAGATACTGACGCCATCTTGCGCTCCATCCAAGATTTGTTCACCTCTTGGGAACAAGTAAGGACATCTCGCCCTTCTTCAGCCAGTTGTCCTTCTGCTTCATCTGCTGTATTCTAGGAAGAAAATATGAATATTCTCAAGCAATCAGTGCTTGA